GTCTGCCTCCACTCCACTTATTATTCGTGTGTCCACCCCCAGAAAATTTGGAATAAAAGAGATGCCATTTCCTGCATTTTGGTGTATTTTAACAGGTTGTTAAACATTTGAATAAACTGATTAAAAACAGCTCTCTTGTAAATGACGAGGCTCAATGAGACTAACAACCTGTAGAAAGCCTGTGTATGAATTTCACTTTTTTTTTTTTTACTGTAAGCTTATTTATTATGTCTGAAATGTTATGCACTGTAATGTATGCAGGAGTTCTGACACAGCAGTTGTGCACGCGTCCTGCAGAGCTGTGTGGAGACGCTGTGCGTAAAACACCTGTCTCAGGGCGCACAGCTGGAGGAGGATGAAGACGCTCCCTGCGGGACATGCAGTGCGTGTCTCTGCTGGCAGGAGTGTGGCGTGGCCAGAACATCCACTCGTGGTACTTTTAATAAATAATTAAAATAAAAATGTGCAACGACTGTGGACTTTTAGGGGCGGAGTTGGCAGAGCCGAGCGGTCAAAATTATAGAGTTCCAGGATCCGGCTCAAATTAACCACTGTCTGAAAAAAAAAAAACAAGAGCTGTTCATAACGTATAATACGTGTAGAACGGGGATGTGAACCGGGGCTTGAGCCATCTTAAATACACTGAATCGCACCAAATGTTTGAAACTCTGCCTGTCAACTCGAAGCAGTCAGCTGACTTGGTCTGAATGAAGCAGTGAAGTGGTTCACACGTCATTGGTGACGTCACATGAACCAAGCTCCGGCCCACTGCTTCACCATAACTACCCTGTCGAGTTTGAAGCGTGCTTTGAAGCTTCGGTGTTAGAGGTAACTTAACAATCAGTAAGATTCCAACTACTAACATGGCTAAGACCAAAGAGCTGTCCAAAGACACCAGAGACAAAATTGTAGACCGCCACAAGGCTGGAAAGGGCTACGGGGCAATTGCCAAGCAGCTTGGTGAAAAAAGATCAACTGTTGGAGCAATTATTAGAAAATGGAAGAAGCTAAACATGACTGTCAATCTCCCTCGGACCGGGGCTCCATGCAAGATCTCACCTCGTGGCGTATCAGTGATCCTAAGAAAGGTGAGGAGGTTGTTCCCCAAAATCTCACAATACATGGTCCCGGTCATCCTCTCCTCAGAGCATTGAAGATGGGTCGTGGCTGGATCTTCCAATATGACAATGACCCGAAGCACACAGCCAGGAGAACCAAGCAGTGGCTCTGTAAGAAGCATATCAAGGTTCTGGAGTGGCCTAGCCAGTCTCCAGACCTAAACCCTATAGAAAATCTTTGGAGGGAGCTCAAACTCCGTGTTTCTCAGCGACAGCCCAGAAACCTGGCTGATCTAGAGAAGATGTGTGGAGGAATGGGCCGAAATCTCTGCTGCAGTAAACCTGGTGACAAACTACAGAAAACCTTTGACCTCTGTAACTGCAAACAAAGATACTGTACCAAATATTAACATGGATTTTCACAGGTGTTCAAATACTTATTTGCAGCAGTAACACACAAATTAATTATTAAAAAATCAAACATTGTGATTTCCGATTTATTTAAATTTAGATTATGTCTCTCACAGTGGACATGCACTAAGATGAAAATTTCAGACCCCTCCATGATTTCCAAGTGGGAGAACTTGCAAAGTCGCAGGGTGTTCAAATACTTATTTTCCTCACTGTATATACAGGTCCATCTAAAAAAATTAGCATATTGTAATAAAGGTCATTATTTTTCATAATGTAATGATAAAAATGAAACTTTCATATATTTCAGATTCATTGCACACCAACTGAAATATTTCAGGTCTTTAATTGTTTTAATACTGATGATTATGGCATACAGCTCATGAAAACCCAAAATGCCTGTCCCAAAAAATTAGCATATTTCATCCCACCAATGACAGACAAGTGTTTTTAATACAAAAAACACCAACCTTCAAATAATCATGTTCAGTTATGCACTCAATACTTGACGGGAATCCTTTTGCATGAATGACTGCTTCAATGTTGCGTGGCATGGAGGCAATCAGCCTGTGGCACTGCTGAGGTGTTATGGAGGCCCAGGATGCTTCGATAGCGGCCTTAAGCTCATCCAGAGTGTTGGGTCTTGTGTCTCTCAACTTTCTCTTCACAATATCCCACAGGTTCTCTATGGGGTTCAGGTCAGGAGAGTTGGCAGGCCAATTGAGCACAGTAATACCATGGTCAGTAAACCATTTACCAGTGGTTTTGGCACTGTGAGCAGGTGCCAGGTCGTGCTGAAAAATGAAATCTTCATCTCCATAAAGCTTTTCAGCAGATGGAAGCATGAAGTGCTCCAAAATCTCCTGATAGCTAGCTGCATTGACCCTGCGCTTGATAAAACACAGTGGACCAACACCAGCAGCTGACATGACACCCCAGACCATCACTGACTGTGGGTGCTTCACACTGGACTTCTGGCATTTCCTTCTCCCCAGTCTTCCTCCAGACTCTGGCACCTTGATTTCCGAATGACATGCAAACTTTGCTTTCATCCGAAGAAAGTACTTTGGACCACTGAGCAACAGTCCAGTGCTGCTTCTCTGTAGCCCAGGTCAGGCGCTTCTGCCACTGTTTCTGGTTCAAGATTGGCTTGACCTGGGGAATGCGGCACCTGTAGCCCATTTCCTGCACACGCCTGTGCACGGTGGCTCTGGATGTTTCTACTCCAGACTCTGTCCACTGCTTCCGCAGGTCCCCCAAGGTCTGGAATTGGCCCTTCTCCACAATCCTCCTCAGGGTCCGGTCACCTCTTCTTGTTGTGCAGCGTTTTCTGCCACACTTTTCCCTTCCCACAGACTTCCCACTGAGGTGCCTTGATACAGCACTCTGGGAACAGCCTATTCGTTCAGCAATTTCTTTCTGTGTCTTACCCTGTTGCTTGAGGGTGTCAATGATGGCCTTCTGGACAGCAGTCAGGTCGGCAGTCTTACCCATGATTGTGGTTTTGAGTAATGAACAAGGCTGGGAGTTTTTAAAAGCCTCGGGAATCTTTTGCAGGTGTTTAGAGTTACGTCGTTGATTCAGATGGTTAGGTTAATAGCTTGTTTAGAGAACCTTTTCATGATATGCTAATTTTTTGGGACAGGCATTTTGGGTTTTCATGAGCTGTATGCCATAATCACCAGTATTAAAACAATTAAAGACCTGAAATATTTCAGTTGGTGTGCAATGAATCTGAAATATATGAAAGTTTCATTTTTATCATTACATTATGGAAAATAATGACCTTTATCACAATATGCTAATTTTTTGAGAAGGACCTGTATATAATGTGAAAAATACTCTGCTCATTTGAGCACCTTTTAGAAATGATCATTAGGTCTGTGTTTAGAAGGTACCTCAATTAATGAGACTAAAAAACAAATGTTTTCATGATTTTTCCCTCCAGACCTGGAAAATACAGTTCAGACATTTCAAGCTTCTTACAAACCCCATATGTTCCTGTAAAGTGTCCTGAGACAACTTTGTTGTGATGTGGCGCTAAATAAACTGAATTGAATTGAATATCACACACAGACACGGAGTAGGTTTATCTAGTTTATTTTTCCTTTAATTCTACAACAAGGTAATACTCTGTAAAGTAAATTCAACTAAAAATATTCAGACTGGACAAGGAGCACTTGTTGTTACAGGAAATAGCTATATACAGCTACACACTCCTCTGACAGACATGAAACGCTTCAAAGTGCTTATGAAACAAACAAAAACAACAAAAAGGGACAAAAATCAAGCAAAAACACAACTGATCCCTTTGTGAGAGACCTGTGATGAACTGCTTGGCACCAGTCTCCTCCAAGAGACACGCTCACACTCACACACACATGCGCGCGCACATGCACACAAGTGATAACTGGGCCGCTGCAGTGAAGCCTCTGATTAAAAGAATACAACATATGCAGACCGAGAGAACTTCTGAGGGGAGGGCTAAAATAAAAATACATTTTTAATAAAAAGCACAGCAACCTGCGTTGAACGCCACCGGACCCCCCCTCTCCCCCCTCCCACGCAGCACCAGCTCTGAAACTCTTTCATTTATATGAGCATGCTGTGGCAGGGTCTACGTCACGTCACATGCAAATAAAAAGAGCCTCTTTATTCAGACGATTCACATTCATGGATTGAAAACGATCCGCTCGGTGCGGCTGCGATGAGACGCCTCGTTAAATTGTCTTCTCGTAGTCCAAGTGCTTCTTTGAGATTAAAAACTACGTTTAAAAATGGCGGCCGGTACTCCAATGCAAGAAATAAAAGTTAGTTTGGAAGAGGATTATCCAGATGTTTTGATCCAGACTTGGATTATGATTTTCACGCCGTTCTTTCGACAGAAACCAGAACATCTGAGCAGCAGAATGAAAACAGCTTCTGTTCCTGACCCCCACCAGCCCTGACCTCAGCTCAGGTATGGCCCCCGCTGTCAATCACAGCTAAACCTGAGCACTTCAGATGATAGTCATCCCACATGGTGACGAGGAGTTTAAGGAAGGTGGTTTCACCAAAAATGGATCATTATGATCCTAACCCAAGCGCGAGTGCTGCAACTTTATTTATCCAGCAAAGAACAGTTGAGCAGAACAACAAAGGCCTTCGTCGACGACGTGCGTTCGGAGGAACTACAAGCTAGGTGAAAACGAGCGAGTCATAAAAAGTAGAGGTAGAGTTTGGAGATGGATCGAACAGAGTCATGTTCATGTGGGAGCTGAGGGGAGGCTTTTATTTTGAAATCAGCCTGCTTGTTTTTTGGACCACCGTTTGCTCCGTGCACAGACTCTGGAAACTAATTCACTCCTTTTTATGCAATTTTGAACCCACTCACTTTGTGATTGTTCAAATAAAAAAATTAATAAAAAAAGTAAAAAAACAGAGGAGCACGGCTGCACAATAAAACCAAATTAAACACTGATTTCCTGTGGCAGCTGAACGATGTGGGTTCCATTTACCAGCAACTTAAAACCTCAATAAATAAACTCCAAGTCAAGATCTCATTAAAAAAAGAAAAACCACTGCAGCATCAGAACAGGACAACCTGCTTTTCTATCAAAACACCTGCTGTCTCCAACAACAGGCTGCTATATATATATATATATATATATATATATGTTTTTTTGTTTTTTTTCCTGCAACTATGAACAGAAAACAAAGAAAATAAAGAAGTGACTGAATAAGAGCCACTACTTCAGGATTCTATACAGTTTTCTTAAATGCTATATATAGATATCTGAATATATTATTTTATTCATTTACTTTACAAAAAAACTGTGCGCGTCGTCGGTGTGTGTGCAAGGAGGTCATTGAACGTCTCACTGACCGAGCTCTTGTGACTTTACAGACTTTTAGGAAAACGAGAAGAGCCCTTTCTGCTGCCGCTGACGTCCTCCAAGCTTGGAAATCTAAGAGAAGGGTGAACCAGGAGTCCATCTTCTAAATCTGACTTCCAGCAGAGGAGTGGACACGTGTCCAGCTCCCAGTGCCAGCAGGTGAAAAGCTTATTAATCTACGGAGTGCTGAGAGTCCAGGGCGTAAAGGTGATGAACTACCTGCATCTTGTCTGGGGTCTTCACATCCACTCTGCCAACAAACAGGCAGAAAAGTATCAGACCATAGAGATTCAATCGTCTCCAGTCTTCCAAATGAAACATCTTACTCAGCTGGCACTGATGCAAACATTTAAAATAGCAAAATACAGAGTCTCACTGAACCCCGAGTGTCTGTGGCCAGTGAGTCAGGAGGCCACGTTTCAAAACTCCAATCTGATTTTTAGTGCACAGCTTCCTACACTGCACGCTGAACTTCATCTTTCTCTGCAGCCAACCCTGCACTCATGGTCTGATCTGCTGGAGTGCACGTCTGAGATCCAGTCAGGCAGATGTGGAGCTGTTTGTTAACACGACTGGTTCTGGACCTGGAAACTGAGCCTCACATGCTACAGGGCTCTAAATACAGCTTCTGCTCCGACAGGGTGGAGACGCCCACGACACAACTGAGAGGAGTTAGAGCAACACGGCAACGACTTCATGCTCATTAGGAGAAAGAGTCGGTCCCACAGATTGTTCTGAATAAATCCAGACAGGACGTCGAGCCACTAGAGGCTGGAGACATCACCAACATGGCAAGACCTTGTGGAGCCTCCGCATGCGAACAACAACTGCCAGCTAGCCTCAACCAGACGCTCTGCTAGAGAAACTACTTGTTGTCAGATCTTGTAAAATAACGGTGGTACTTTAAATAACCCCAAAGTGTTAACGTACGGTGGGTCGAACCTCTCCTCACTGTGGACTTCATCTCAACGTCTGTTGGCGTTTTAGACAAAACATATGGACAAGAATGTCAGTGAGGACTGACACCAGATCAGTTCACTCAATCCAGATAAAGAAGAAACACAATCATCCCTGGACCCAATGATCCAGTCTGAAGAACTTGAGACAGAAGGCTGTGGATCTGGACTTTAAACAGCCGGTCCCAATAAATATATCAAACTCTTGCTAAAGTTCGTTTTCCTTCAAATTCCTGACTTTTTATATTCGGCTTCTTCTTCTTTGGTCGTTTGGGTGAACTGACCTGTTGACGCGTTTTTATCTTCACAACATCTGTGACACATTTTGTACCAGTGGGACACTGATTCATTGTCCACCTCTACAGAAACATCAGAGCTCCTAACAGGCATGATGGTCCTCAGTGGGTTGAATTAAAATGTGTGTGTGTGTGTGTGTGTGTGTGTGTGGGGCACAGACCACACAAACCTTTATCATGTGAAGAGACGTGACTAGAGTGCCTGCTCTTAAACCCCACATACTCCATTCTTTGCTCCTCTGTCCTTGGAGTGCAGTTCCATCGCTGCTGCTAACCCTTTCTTTCACTCACTCACTCACTCACACCCTTCAGAATACTCTGCGAGCACACCATCCTCTGTACATTTACTTTAAATTGCATCTCAGCAGCACACAATCAATCAAAGCATATGGGACAATGTGCGTAGCTCCCGTGCGCTTGCGTCAGCAGCTCGGCCCAGCTCTCCTGCGCTCTGGTTGGGTGCTCCTCAGTTGGAGCTGGCGGCGATGGGCGTCTCCAGCTCCAGGTCTAGAGGAGCCGAGCTGACCTGGAGGCTGCTGTAGCAGTTCTTGCACACACGGCTGGGCTCGAACAGCTGCTGGCTTGGCACTGGTGTCTTTTGGTCGCAACAGCTGGCGCAGAATATGTTACCACAGTTCCTGTAAGAGACACAGAGGGATCAGTAAGACCACAGACCCTGCAGTTACCATGTGATCTGTGGCAGATCGCTCTAAATATCAACACTTCTCAACATTTGGTTGTTGGAACTGGTAGTTGAACTACCCGAGAGGCGTGGTACAACAGACAGCATGCACACCTCGCTCGTCTGTTCAGCTGCAACTCAGGTTCTACATGCTTGCTTAGCCAAGGTGCTCTAACCCACAGCGATGAAGCCGGTTTGCAAAAACAAAACCAAAAAGCAACGCTCCAACAGTGTCACTGAGCAGAGCAGCACACTGGAGGACTCGGATTCAGACCAAGGCCATGCACACACACATGGGGGGTGTAATTCTTCCCTGCCTGCACTCAGCTTTAAACAGAACTCTAATTTAACCTGAGTTCAGAGCCTTTTGAGCCCAGTGGACCAACCAGGTTTTGATGTCATGTCATGCTGCTGGGAGTGGAGATGCTGGGAGGGGGCAGCATGCTGCCAGGGGCCTGTGCAGGGTGGCGGTAAGGGGACAGTGACCTCATTCAGACCTGGCATTAAAATTTGTTCTTAACTATCAGGTTGCAGTTGAATAGAGTTAAAAACAGGTCTGCAAGGCCTCAACACGTATTAAAGGTTTCACTCAGACACCACCACAGGCGATCTGGACCCCAGTTTTATGTTTGAGGTTTTATCAGAAACATTTCAACACAAATGTTCATTTTGTTGTGATTTTATCAGTGGATGGCACAGCGTGGGGAGTTTCTTTTTAGCTTGTATGCTCTGATTCACAAAAAAAAGATTGTCAGGTCATCTGGACAGATTCTTCTTGGTTACGTTTTGTCTTTCATCCAAAGGACTTCATCAGTCTGAGGCCTGCCAACAAACTGTCATATAAATAGCACCTTTTCAAAGTGGTTCCAACCAGTCTGTTGTGGAGTTCCAGAAACTGGCTTTTCACATATGAAACGGGGACCATCGGTCTAACAATCCACCATCAGTGCATAACAATCCATCGATGGAGGCCTGATGGCCACTTGCTCTTCACCGAACCAGCCTGAGGACAACCGGGCAACATGGTCCAAAAAAATCCTGATGTAAGCTCAATCATCCAGGTCCCCTTTTTACATGTGAAAACCTAGTTTATGGAACTCCACAGCAGACTGGCCTAAACCACTTTGAAAAGATGCTATTTATATGACAGTTTGTTGGCAGGCCTCAGACTGATGAAGTCCTTCGGATGAACGACGAAATGTTTCAACCAAGAAGAATCTGTCCAGATGACCCGATTTAACCTTATGTGTGTGGTTTATTTACCTGGATGATTGAGTTTACATGAGGACTTTTATGTTCCACCTGTTTTTGAACTGGCTGGACCTGCTGAGGCCACTGGAAGTTATCCGGTGCTGCCAGTCTCAGTGCGAGCAGCGTATGTCACGATCCGTAAGATCACTGACGCTGCGCTCACAGTGAAGATGTGGAAAACAGCTGATGGCTGTCCGGGCACTATAGTTTTAGGAGCCAACATGTTTTGTCTCTAATAGAGCTCTGTAATGTCACTCATCAGGTTACTGTATTTTACTCATATCACATTTGTTATGTAACTAAGTTTACTGCCAGATGTGAACACTCAATCAGTGTCAAACACTCTAGCTGTCGAATCACTTGACAGATGTTTAGTGCAGGGTCTGAACAGGGTCAATGTGGATATTTTACTATGGTGGGTTGAGGGAGGAAAAAACATGTTTTTGTTTATTTATTTACTTCAAATAAAAATCAGTCCTCAACCAATCAGTTGGTCCACCGGCAGCTTTGTGTCATCAATCCACCTGACAGATGGAGACTGTTCTGTAAAACTACTGAAGATTCAAAGTGAATAAAGACGCAGCAGGTGAGTAGAGGAAGGGTGGAAGAAGGGGAGGTTAGGATTAGAAGGAGTGGGGTCAGAATCTCACCAGACCTCCTGGACAGGCTCCCTGCCACTGTAGAGGAGGAAGAGGGGCAGAAATGGATAAGAACTGCCTGAGCAGTGGGAGAAAACATGAACACACTAAGGGCTGGACGATATGGCCAAAACTTTTATCACAATATATTTCTTAATTTTGGTCTATAATGATATAATTCGATATCGATATAAACAATATAAAAGCCTCAGAACAACTACAAACTGTACAACTAAATTAATGTTCACCTTTTATTTGTATTTAGACTTCAAAAACATTGAAATCACTGTCAAATAAACATAAAATGCTACAATTTGTCAATATTAATAGTTTTAACTTTAAACAACAACTTTAAAATTGACAGCATTGAAATTCGTTGTTAATTAAATAAAAATTTTGGGTGTTGTTATTGATGAGAAGCTGACGTGGAAATCTCATGTAAAATACTTAAAAATAAAAACAACAATCAATTGCCTTACTGTATAAAGTAAAAGAGTTTTTGAATGACAAAGCTTTGTATATATTGTATAATGTAATGATTGTTCCATATTTAATCAACTGTATTGAAGTTTGGGGAAAAGCAAAACAATTACAAGCCTTATTTTTATTTTATACAAAAAAGAGCTATAAGAATTATTAGTATTATGAAGTGCTATGGTCACCCAACAAATATATTATTTCATCAATTGAAATTATTAAAATGTTATGATTTGGTTGAATATAGTATTTTACAAGTCCTGTATAAAGCTCATATAAATATTAGCCCCAAATATTCAATTAAAATTAGTAAAAAATAAATATAAAAAAGGAGAGTCAATATAACCTTAAGGGAATGTAAATGTTTGTAAAACCTCCATTTAGAACTAGTGTGAAGGAGCTGTGTTGTAATTCAGGGAACAGGATTATGGAATTGTCTTGATATCACCATAAAAATGTCTAAAACAATTTAAATGTTTAAAAAGATGATAGTTAAAAGTTGTTGGGAAGGTAAAGTACCAGGTGAAGGATCCCTGAAGTTTTTTTGTTTTCAGTTTGGAGATTGTTCAAGTCAAGGTTGTTGTTTGTTTCTAGTTATTTTGTATTTTTTTAATTAGGGGCTGATAAGAATTTTTTCTTCTTTCTGATGAATTTCTTTTATTTTAAATGAATGAATGATAAAAAAAAAACATGCAGCGCTGGGGTTGTTTCAGGGACACATTTCAAACTTTTATTGAGCTTCATCTTGTGACTCATCATATTCTGTCAAGTGGAACATGTTAGATGTTCCAACCGCGAGTTAGAACGACTCTCCGTCACATTTTGCAGCACACTGACTGAAACCTGCAGTTTATCAGATCTTAGAAAGCCGAACCACTTTCAAACCAGAGAATTAGTCTTTCCTCTCTTATCAGTGATGTCATCTGCTTTCTGTTCGCTTGTGGAAGCTTGTTCAGTCACATTCTGACGATCATGGGCACTCATTTTGAAGAGAAAACAACGTGCGTTGGAGATTAGCCTAGCTTAGCCTGCTACCACTAGCCTTCTGGACTTGAGCTCTGCGCAGTGTTGCCAGGTGAGAAATGTAGGATTATCGTACTAGAGACATAAAATTATCGTATTTTGTGGGAAATTATCGTACACCCGTCATAACCAAAATAACAAATGCATTATAGTAATGGTGGGTCCGCTTCCAGACCGGCTCTGCTTCTTCTCCTTTTCTTTTCCTCACTCATGGGGCGGGCGCAGCAGACTATTCCGAGGCAAACACAAACACGTCACTCGTAGGTCACATTTAGAAAAGCAGCCAATCGTGCATCTGTTTGCAGACACCGATGCCTTCAGGGTTCACAAAAAAACTGTGACAGACAGTTGCGAGAGGCTGATGACAACAGATTACAACCACACATTCACGGAATGATCAAATTATCGTAGATTTGGCCATTTTTGGGATTATTGATCGTACAGAGGGCAAAATTGTCGTACAAATACGATAATTATCGTACACCTGGCAACACTGGCTCTGCGTAACATTACGTCACCATGCACTTAAGTTTTTGTGTCGCACCTTTTTCTGTCCGGGTTGAAACTGAAGTGGCCGCTTCAACCCGAACAGAAAACGCTGTAATCCCATCGAAATATCGAAAATGTGCCCAGATTCATTCACAACTAACATCTGAAGCAACTCCTTAAACCGGGTTCAACTGGACTCAAGAATATAGAAACCAGTGAGGAGGATGCAACACCAGAGGAAACGGGCTCGACTGATGGGAGGATGTTGAATAAATCATCTCATCATGAACATGAGGATAACAAGCATCAGTAACTTCACCAGCTGAGATCAAACCAAATGACCCATCACAAAGAAACGTTCATTTCATTTCCCTTAGTATCCCATGCTGTTGTCTTCAGTCTGACATGCTGGAAATTATTTAGATTTTTTATTTATCAGGAATAATTCTACAAAAATACTTCAGAGTAATTAAATAAATCCATTTTTTTTAATTGTTCAAAAATAAAAAAGCAGAAAAGTGACATGTATAATTCACCCTTTTTGCTTTGTTCAAACCATTACCATCAGAAGGCACAAAATTAGTTCAATAAGATCCAACTGTGCAAAATGGAAGTACCAAACGCACTCAGTATATTTACACAAGTTCTCATGGCCTCAGGAATCAACATCCATGCAACACTTCTAACGTCTTATTTACACGAGAACGACCTCTGGAAACATTAGTGGTTCTTACTATGGGCGCACCGATTGTAGTTTTCTGGCCGATCACCCATCTCTAAAAAGTCTGACCTGTCGATTCTGATTTTGTTTCATAAGCAACACTGTCAGGTGTTAAGGTCACAAAGCACCTTCAATTTTCCAGTATTATTTTACTGAAAAACATACCGTTGAACAATATCCTAAAAACAATACAAACTTGTTTTAACTGGCCATGAGGCAGTGCTCTGAAATATAAATGAAGTTTAGACAATTGCTGTTAAAACTAAAAAAAAATCTGTAAAATTGATTTGTCATGTAAGTATCGGTCGATCTCCGATCTCCCAAAATTAAGGAAATCGGGGCCGGCTGATTTATCGGTGCACCCCTAGTTTTTACCCATGTTTAGTGCAAAATTTAAAAAAAAGCACGCATTTAAATGGATCCACTGTAGTGTTCATGCCAGGCAGGGTAACCAGATAGGAAATAGTGAACCTTTGTACTGTTACTTTAAAAGTACTGTATTTTGACCCAAACTGTCATCTGTGCTGAGTGAGGGTGTTGTAAGACAAGATGGTGTGTTTGGTGAACATGTGCACAGACAGGAGGGGGTAAAAATATATATTTATGTTTATCTGGCAACTCTGAGTAGACTCAGCTGCATGCTTGGGCAGTTATGTCCAAACTGATGAATACAGGAACGTCCCTTTGGACCAAGGGATTTGCTCCTACATGCTGAAAAAGATTGAACACACACAAAAACAATTCTGCTCTCTGCCATTTATTTTAAATGTACTTAGTGCAGAAAATTTTTGCTGCAGCTGCCTGTAGTGTGAACATGCAACTTCACACCTGCAAAGTATTTCAGACCTCTGCAGGAGGTTCCCCCAAAACCTCTATTCTGAGACCAGGATTCTGAAACTTTTGGTTTCAGATAGAACCAGGGCTGCTGTTGTGTACACAAACGGCTGAACTGCAGCAGAAAAGCTCCAGTTTCACTCAAACAATGTGTCATGTAAACAGGGCCTAAATCGTAAGGGCTACCACCAAAGCAAGAGACAGCATGAAGCCCAAGGAACTTTGGGAAACTGATCAGAGTAAAAGGAAAGATTAATTGTAGCAGAAATTCTTGAGGAACATGTTGAAGCCCTCCAGATTTGAATATGGGATGGAGGTTCACCTTCCAGCAGGACACTGACCCTAAACACACTGCTGTGCAACTCTCCAGTGTTGAAGAACCATTATGTACTGGAATGGTCCAGTCAAAGCCCAGACCTTAGTCCAACTGAGAACCTCTGGTTTGATTTAAAGATTGTTGTACAGAAGCAGCATCCATTAAACCTGACAGAGCTGTAGCAGTTTGATCATGAAGAACAGCCCAAAACGCCAATGGTTAGATAGACCCAGTTCTTTGGAGACAAACCTGAAAAACAATCCCAAAATGTATCCACTTTTGGGGCCATTTTACTAAAACTGGCAACAATTTTTAGAACCATTTATTTTTCTGTCAAAACCTGTTGCACTGTCTCCTAGTTCTTTTCCCTTTGTAGGCGGCTGTGGCTGAGTGGTTAGAGCAGTTGTCCTCCAATGCAAGAGTTGGGGGTTCGAATCCAACAGCAGTCACATGCCGAAGTGTCCCCGGGCAAGACACTGAACCCTTTGTTGCCTCCGATGTGTGTGCCATCAGTGTATGAATGTGATCTAAAGCTCTGAGTAGTCTCTTTAGAATGATTTGTTCAATTAGCTTTGTAGAGATCTAGTATAGAGCTGTATGAATGGGTAAATGAGGACACAGATTGTAGTGGAAAGCACTTTGAGTATCTCAATAAGATAGAAAGGTGCTATATAAGTACAGTCCATTTACCATTTATAGCCTACATATATCAAAGATTCACAAAATTTGGAGTTCAGTTTTTTCTTTATTTAGAGGCAAAGAGCCTACTTGAAGTTAATGTGACAGCAGACATGTTTCAGTCTTTTCAGAGTGGCAGTGAGCTCAGACGTGATCTGCAGGTGATGACCTAAATATAAAGTAAGTCTCCATTTTAGAAACAATGGTACCACTTACAGAACATTTTATGCCCATTCACAAACCATCATACAGCAATCTATAGCAATGGCATGGAGAAGAAAATGCCTTGTTTGACTTTAACCTTCATTTTTGACCTTGGAGTTGGAGATGGGTCATGAAAATATTATGCAATTATGTCTCAGTCTCTGATAGAGGACATTTGCAAACTGAGGTGTACCGAAAACCAACCCGCACAGACCAGTATTTGCAGTTTGACTCCCATCACCCTTTGGAGCACAAGTTAGGAGTCATCAGGACTCTGTATCACAGAGCAGACAGCGTCCCCACTAGCTCAGGAGCCAGGCAGAAGGAGAAATCCCACACAAGACAGGCTCTAGAGCAATGTGGATATCCTAACTGGGCCTTCCTGAAAACAGAGAAGAAACCCAAACAGGACTCCAGTCAACCATCAGGTGAAAAAGAGGAACCCAGACCAGTGGTCATTCCGTATGTTGCGGGAGTATCAGAGAAACTGAGACGTTTATTTACTAAACATAACGTCCCAGTGGCTTTTAAACCCCAAAATACATTACGGCAAAGACTGGTTCATCCCAAAGATTCAGTACCCCGGCACAAACAGAGTAATGTTGTGTATGCTGTTCAGTGTCAGGAGGGCTGTGATCAGTCTTACATTGGGGAAACTAAACAGCCACTGGCCAAAAGGATGGACCAGCACAGAAGATCAACATCATCAGGCCAGGACTCTGCGGTCTACACTCATCTCCAGGCCAGCGGTCACTCTTTCAGGGATGAAGATGTGCACATCCTGGACAGAGAGGAACGATGGTTTGAGAGAGAAGTAAAAGAGGCCATCTTTGTGAAAAGAAATTGTCCATCATTAAACAGGGGTATAGGCCTCTGTGTTCAACTGTCCCCCTCTTACAATGCTGTTATTGCTAGTATCACTCAGACTCCTGTGAATAGTAAACAGCCATCAGTGTGCTAATGATCCATTTTTGGGTTGATGGTCCTTCTTGATCATGTGAGCGGCTGGTTTTGGTTGTCAGCAGCAAACTGGTTGATCCACTCTGAGAGGGTGCTATTTATAAGACTGGGTTGAATGCAGCACCTCAGGCTGAGGAGGTCTTTCGGATGAGAGACGAAACGTTTCTACATTTTTGTTGTTGTTGTTGTTTTGCTTTGTTTTGTTTTTTGAATGTCCAGAGGACCAGATTTAAATTTTTTTAGATACAGGGGAATTAAGTTGATGAGACACACAATGAAGATCTGGGAGAGAGTTGTGGAAGCTAGACTTAGACGAGAGGTGACTATTTATGAGCAGCAGTATGGTTTCATGCAGAGAAAGAGCATCACAGATGTCATCTTTGCTTTGAGGATGCTGATGGAGAAGTACAGAGAGGGTCATAAAGAACTCCGTTGTGTCTTTGTGGATTTACAAAAAGCATATGACAGAGTGCCGAGGGAGGAGGTGTGGTATTGCATGAGGAAATCTGGAGTGGCAGAGAAGTATGTTAGACTGGTACAGGACATGTATGAGGACAGCAGGACAGTGGTGAGATGTGCTGTAGGAGTGACAGATAGCTTCCAGGTGGAGGTGGGAGTACATCAAGGATCGAATCTGAGCCCCTTCTTGTTTGCTCTGGTGATGGACCAACTAACAGATGAGGTCAGGCAGGAATCCCCATGGATTATGATGTTTGCAGATGACATTGTGATCTATGGTAAGAACAGGGAACAGGTGGAAGAGAACTTGGAAAGGTGGAGGTATGGACTTGAAAGAAGAGGAATGAAAGTCATCCGTAGTAAGACAGAGGGCATGTGTGTGAATGAGAGGGCGGCCGGTGGAATAGTGAGGCTACAAGGAGCAGAGGTCACAAAGAGAGTCCAGGCAGGATGGAGTGGATGGAAAAAAGCTTCGGGAGAAATTTGTGACAAAAAGGTGTCAGCAAAGGTCAAAGGAAAAGTTTACAAGACAGTGGTGAGACCAGCTATGTTGTATGGTCTGAAGACAGAGACATGGACAAAAAGACAGGAGACAGAACTGGAAGTGGCAGAAATGAAGACGTTGAAAGTGTTTCCTCTACCAAAAGAGGGTGCACCACCCTGTCTACAGACATTTCATACACAAACCCCGCCGCAAGTTCCGCTAACAAACAATGGGTGGAGATTGTTGCCAAGGACCAGTCACCACAGGATAAGTGATTTCGACCTAGCATAACATGGTGCTCTGCTAATCCCACCTCCCTCACCCCCCAACAATCACAACCTCAGTCACTTTATATGACTCTGTTGTTATAGCATTTTTTTCATTCATTCAACATTTATTTTGAAACATTTTGTGGGCGGCTGTGGCTGAGTGGTTAGAGCAGTCGTCCTCCAATGCGAGAGGTGGGGGTTCAAATCTATCAGCAGTCACACGTCGAAGTGTCCCTGGGCAAGACACTGAACCCCTCATAGCCTCTGATGTGTGTCCCATCAGTGTATGAATGTGATCTAAAGCACTGATTAGTCTCTTTAGAATGATTTGTTCAATTAGCTTTGTAGAGATCTAGTAGAGTGCTGTATGAATGGGTAAATGAGGACACAGATTGTAGTGTAAAGCGCTTTGAGTATCTTGAAATAAGATAGAAAGGCACTATACAAGTACAGTCCATTTACCATTTTATTTATACAGGCTAGTCTCATTGAGCCACAAGGACTCATTTACAAGAGAGACCTGTTCCATACAGAACATATAAAGTACAGACAACAATAACAGTAAACAATAATAACAATAAACTACAGTGAAAATGCAGTAGAAATAAGAGTGGTGTATAAAACAATAAATCAGGGTGATGTAAAACAGGGTCAAATACTAAAAACATGAACACATTTGCTGGGAATATATTTCCCCTGGCATCTTCTCACCTGCAGTGATGTTTCCTGGTAGCAAGCCAAAACCTGCTTTCACAGCCGTAACAATGTGCAGCCAAATGATCAGGGTACCACCGAGTGACCTGCAATGTACAGTCATTCACAGCCTCCATCATTTGAATAGTTCATAACAAATGCTGCCATATTTAAAGTGCATCACTACTAGTAAGTCCTGATAGAGCTCACCTCAGTGTCCTGCTTGTCCACCTGCTCCCAGCTGGCTTCTGAGAAAAGTTCTGTGCTGCAGCGTGACAAACAGTTTGGATCGCAGCTGTACTCTGAGTCTATCATTGAGGTCTGCAACACGAGAACAAAGACAGTCACTACTGAGGCACCTGCAAACAGCAGATCATCGGCCTGAAGTTCCTCCAACTAGTTACACACGTTATAGAAAAGTGTACCATGGTGTATGAGGACCTTACCACCTCGTCTCCCACGTCTCCATTAATCCTGTGGGAGTTGGCATGCTGTTGATTCTCCAGGCGGCTCCACAGCTCCTGTACCTGCTTCTTCAGAGTCTCCACCTCCATCTGGTGCCCTGCCTCAATCTGCCTCAGCCTTTGCTGGATAGCATCTGTGTGCAGAGTCAGCCCATCATCATCCAGGTGGCTTCGAGACGGCTGCTCAGGGCTGACGGTGGTCTTGCTCAGCACGGCATGGCAGCAGCGATGCTGAGAGCAGCTGCCTCGAAGATGAAGGATCAAGGAGTTGCAACTTGCTAGGGACACTTGTCGACTCAGAGTAGCCCTCTCCCCGTTTCCTTTCAACCAGTGAGGTCCTACACAGTGGTCTCCATCAGAGGTGTCCCCATTACACAGCCCATCTCTGCTGAGCTCAGCACTTGCAGACTGAAAGGCACTGACGGAGGTTTGCTTGCTGCCCCCGTTTAAAGTTCTGCTGAAGCTGTGCTCACCTGTCTCCACCCCTCTCACTTTCATGGAGCAAGTGTGTTGGCTCCTGCCATCACTGCAGGGCTGATGGCTTAAATAAACAGTTTGTTGTGCGGGGCTGTCCGATTTGCTGCAGGCTTCTTCAGTTAAAGTCTCTGTGGAGCTCTCCATCAGGGAAGCCCCCTTACCCACCTGCTCCCCTGGCTCCGAGACAGCATGTCCAAATTCAGCAACAGAGCAGGACTCGTCTATGCCCAGCTCCTCAGGGGGGCTGTCCACAAAGCCATTAATTATAGTTCTTTGGACTGCAGGTTGCTCTGGTTTACCGAAGCTGGACTTACTGAGGCCATGCTCTGGCTCCTCTTGAACCTTTACGTTCTCCTTCACCAGACCCTCTGGAGTCCCCTCAGCAGCCTGCTTAAGTCCCTCTTCGTTCTGTGGAGGTAGAGGGGCAGAGTCACCATCCTCCTCTGCCTCTGTTACACCATCTTCAGGAAGGTAACCATTAGCAAGGATTTCTCTCTGCCTCTCAGACCCATTGGTAATTGTGACCTGATGCTCCTCCTCAGCATTTACATCAGTGTTGACTTTGACGTCCGCAACAATAACAACATTGGACGGAGCAGCACTTCTTTCCCCCTGTGCATCTGCTCCCGCTTCCTCTTTTGTGGCTTCCTGCAGAATATTCTCCATTTGGCCCTCAGCAACACCCATGGCCACAGAGAGCTCTGCCTCCTCTGTATCCTCTCCGGCGGACTCCACAGAGAAATTCTGTCTGAGCACAGCCTGGGGTTCCTGCGACTGTATGCCATCGTCCAGTCCATCTGAAAAAGAGCCCTCTCCATTAGGCTGCACCTCTGGATCCTGATTGCCCCCTCCCTCGGGCCCCACTGCTATGTTGAGCTCCAGAGAGCGCCGGTGGTCCTGCCACTTCTCATTGAGGCTCGGATCACTGGAACGGCGGTTGGGAGCCAGCAAGCCTCCCAGCTCACACGCACTGGGCAAGTTGTCAAAAGATCGAGTTTTGGTACGCCTAAACAGAAAACAAAAAATAATTAGGCACATGAACAATATTTAATAAAGCTCAGCATGAGTAACAGAATTATTCATAATCATTATCATAATTATAATCATAATCAATTTTTCCATTCATCGAAACCAAAACACCTGAGAAACTGAGACCCTAAAGAAATGGTTTTCCCTGAAGGTTTTTAGTCAGAAGAGAGACAGTGTTTCCTCTACCATTATACAAGCGGGGCGCCCCGCCTACTGAACCGAACTGCACCCCCCACCCCTCACCACAAAGCTATCAGCGCACAATACAGGCATGCAAGCTAAAAAGTTAAAGGTAGCGCTCACCTGCCTCTTGCTTCACGCTGAACCCTCATGTTCAGGGGTCTGCAACCTGTGGCTCTCGAGCCACATGCGGCTCTTTGGTTCCTCTGCAGCGGCTCTAAGTTTTGACCCAAACTAACATAAAACTGAAGTTTATTGGTCGTTGCACCAACAACAAGAAATGGCTTATTTTAGCAGTTTTACAGCCATTTCTTTTGCCAATATGCGAATGATACTAACACAAGGAGTAAAACTTGTTGGCTACATCATGCTAGTAGTTTGTTAGCCACTTCTGTTAGCTCACTTCCAGTCTTACGGTGTGAGCTTTTTCTCAAATCCACCAAATGATTTGGGGGAATACGTTTAAGGCAAGTTGCTGAGAAGAAATATGGTGAGTCAACATGATAATAAAAATTAAAGAAAAAAAAAATTCAAAGTAAATGGAAGTATTTATTTTAAAATTCAATTACTTGTCCGATAAACTGGTCTCATTTTTAACTTTATGCTTTATTACTTCAAAATAGGATACTTTATGAACCGTTTCCACAATTAAAAAGAAAACTCACATAAGCCTGCATACTTGCGTTTGAATTTTTATAAAATTAGTAAAAAAATTAAATATTTTTTCCTTCTTTACATAAATCCAGTCTTTTCTTTTGCCCTAAAATATAAAAATACCAGTAAACATCAATAAAACTTGATATTTTAGTTTCACAATATCACACCTACTGGCCGTAAAAGCCCCCCTCCAACAAGCTTGAAGTGGGCCATGGGCCGCCAGTTGATCAGCACAGTTTTAGCAGGTTTTGTGGCTCCACACATTTTATTTAGTGTGCAAAGAGGAAGAAATGGCTCTTTTGATCATAAAGGTTGCAGACCCCTGCTCATGTTGAACCCTCATGTTGGAACCCCACCCCCAACTCGAAAACTGTCGGTACAAAGCAGCGTGCAAATCAGCTGTGTCTGTCCCCCCACTCCGATAGTACAAACAGCACAAGCTCAGACATGTCACCCCCCCACAGGCAAAAATCACAGGCGAGATGAGCGCCCCGCCATGGCAAGTTATCCAGGGGAGACACTGAGAGATGATGAGCACAAAATCCAACAGTATGTGTGACTGTAAAAGCCAGAACGGAGCGATACTTTAAAGCAGCGCAGCTGAAAAGTCGGGATCCTCTGGCTGTTGGGGTATTCATTTTGTGTTCATCTTACATGGATCAGGGAGTACGGGGGTAGTCGGGTCCCAGCCTGCCAGGCTCACCTGCCCAGGGGCGCATCCTCCGAGTTTGCACCGGGCACTGGATAGGGGGCGCAGGAGTCATCAGAGGGGGTGGTCGGGGAAGAGCTAGGCAAGTAAACTGCTGTCCACAACATCAGGTTCCGTACTTGACAGACTGGGTGGAGAACCTGGAGGGAAAACAAATCACAGCAGTGTGATGATTCAGATATAAAAACAGAGCTCGCATAAATACAAGTCTGAGCATGATCCAACAAGAACCTCTGAATGCAAACATAAATACAGTTTCCAAACTCCTGGCCACACAAAAAGCAAACAGAAAACCAACAGTAATCATAACAATGCAGCTCTCAGAAGGGCGTGAAACTAATCCTAAATCAAGTCTGACACAGAGACAATCAGCAATAAATCTATAGCATTGTGAAATACAACATCCTGGTTTTATCCTGCCTGTAATGAATTTAAAGACATGCTGTCTGAACCAAAAAAAAAAAAGAAAGAAAAGAAAATTGTTTGGCTTCATGTTCTTTGTTAAAGAAAAAGCTTCTTCCCATTTTTTTCTCTTAAGCGATGGACATTTTGAACGAGCGTTCACTCTTTATATACAGTCAACAGGAACTTGTGGCCCTCGGCTTTCTGAAAGACTGACTGATGGAGATGAGAGGGTGGACGTACGGAATCTGAGTGAGAGGAGTACAGCATGTTCCTCAGCGAACGGTTGGCTGGTCTGACCAGTGACCAGACTGAGCAGGTCCTCTCCTGAACGTGGCGGTCCTCCCGTTCTTTACCACTGTTGCACAGGAAGGTGCCGAACAGACAGGAGTAGGTGTGCTGCACCAGCTTCACCTGCACACACACACACACACACATGGCATGCAGAGGCTTGTGGACAAGCATCCAGGAACTAAGAACACAGATGGAAAGGGGTTTTCTAATGGGTCTTGTGAACAAACCCTGAAGGTAAATGAAAATAAATAGTTTGAGTGGAACCAGATGTGCAATAATAAAAGGAATCCCACTGTCACTCCTATACCAAAAAAATCAGAGGCATTAAATTTAAAGATGTAAGAAGGACTTCAAGTACTTGAGGTCCACTATCCAGGAAAATGGTGAGTGTGGTAAAGAAATGAAGAAGAGAGTCCAGGCAGGATGGAGTGGATGGAGAAAAGTTTCAGGGGTGATTTGTGAAAAAAGAGTGTCAGCAAAGGTCAAAGGAAAAGTTTACAAGACTGTGGCGAGACCAGCTATGTTGTATGGTCTGGAGACAGAGACATGGACAAAAAGACAGGAGACAGAACTGGAAGTGGTAGAAATGAAGATGTTGAGGTTTTTCTTAGGAGTGACAAGGATAAAGAAGATTAGGAATGAGATCATCAGAGGTACAGCACAGGTTGAACAACTGGGAGATAAAGTTAGAAAGACCAGACTGATGTGTGGTCTGACAGTGACATGTGTGGTCTGACAGTGACATGAAGTAGACGTGTCATTCCAGTGCTCCGGTAAAACTTTACTTTTAAACAATACCAAGCCCTCTACATTTACTTTTATGCAGAGTATTGCACACCTAACTTTCATCAAACATTTGTTTAATGATATATCATCTTAAACATGTCTCAAAAATCGACAAAATCGAGCAAGAAGGACGACGCTCAGGCTGGCCTAACCCTAGAGGCCATTACATCTCTGCTTGAGGAGCACCGCGCTGCGCTGTCAGCTGAGTTCAAAGCCACCTTCAATCAGCTGGATGCCAAACTGGACCAGACCCAGCTCGCAGTGGAGGAACACGGCCAGCGTGTCTCATCACTGGAACTTGCCACTGACGACCTGAGCCAGCGCCTGACGGAGGTGGAAAACACCTGCTCAACTCTCCAGGAGGACAACTCCAGACTAAAGGCTAAACTTGCAGACTTAGAAAGTCGAAGCAGACGGCAGAATATTCGTATTCTGGGCCTACTGGAGTCTATCGAGGGCGGACGCCCCACGGACTTCTTCTCCAACCTGCTGTGCGACATCTACGGGCGTGACACTCTTCCATCCCCCCCCGAGCTGGACCGAGCTCATCGATCCCTTGCCCCGAAACCCGCCTCGGACCAGCGGCCGCGCCCGGTTATCCTGCGGCTACACCGGGTCCAGGTGAAGGAGCTCCTCATCCGGGAGGCCCGACGCAGAGGAAAGCTTGAATACCGGGGGACACCGGTGCGGATCGTGGAGGATTACACACCTGAAGTCCTGAACCAGCGCGCCGAATATAAAGATGTGATGGCTTCACTGTACTCTCTGGGTCTAAAACCGGCATTGCTTTTTCCTGCCCGACTCCGTGTGACTCTACCCGGAGGTAACAAAAGGTGGCTTGGGTCTGTGGAGGAGGCGCAGAAATACATCGACACCTTACCTCAGTCTTCACAGCGCAAGTAACATTTAACTTTTCCTTTGACTGATGAGCAAAGCGTTGGTTCCGCACTGGATCTGTTTATGATAAACTTTTACTTACTTAAGGTGATATACTTTTGAGAACAGGACTCTGCACATACTGTTCTGATTAATACATTTTTGTTTTCAGTGCCCTAAAAAAGTGCGGTTTTCTTTTTGTCCGTTTGTATGTGCGATCAGACGCACACCCAAACAGTTGAATCGGCTATAAATGTGTGAATTATATAACGTTTCAATATATTTTTCTGAAGCTTAATTCAGCATTTTTCTTCTTATTTACCTGCGCAATTTGACTTTAATTTAATTTAATGTAACTTTATACTCTTATGTGTGTGCGTGTTTACACATGCATTTATCTGTACCATTTTTGACATAACTTTGCATACTTTAATAGCCTACTGTTATGTGAGGTGCTTATACAACCTTTTTTTACGATACTGGAGCTGGAGCACTAGTTTAGAAGTTAGACAGGTGCCTTATTCTTTATTTTCTATGGAGCTTGCTGCTTTTGTTTTTTGCAGCTGTCCAGGCTGGGGAGGGGGGGTGGGGGGTCCGTTACTGCCATTAACTTTTTTTTTTATTTTATGCTATTTTGCCAAGAACTGCACAGCCATCCACACAGCCAACTGTATTATTGCCTATTTTTATTATACAAATGTCTAGTAATATGACTGGTCAGTTGGTGTTGTCAAGCTGGAACGTTAAGGGTCTGAACCACCCGGTCAAAAGAAGGAAGGTGCTTTCTCATTTAAAACAATTAAATACAGACATTGCTTTTCTGCAGGAGACTCACATACGAAGTGAAGATAACATAAGATTACTGCAAACGTGGCAGGGGCAGAGTTTTCACTCCTCCTTTAGAGCGAAGGCTCGTGGCGTCTCAATCCTCATCAGTCAGGACATTTCTTTTGAACCTCTTGAAGTTAACTCAGATAAGTATGGTCGCTATGTGATAGTTTCCGGTAAATTGTACAACACACCAGTAGTGCTTGTTAACATTTATGCCCCAAATACAGATGATGTAGGCTTCTTTGAGAAAGTATTTTCACTGCTTCCAGACCTTAACATATTTTCATTGGTACTTGGAGGCGACCTAAATTGCTGGCTGGACTCAGTTTTGGACAGATCCTCTACCAACCCCGTCACAGCCAGCAGGTCATCCCACACTATCCGTGCCTTTTTATCCAAGTATGGTCTGTGCGATGTGTGGCGTTTTTTACACCCCGCTGAGAGAGAATATTCTTTTTTTTCTCATGTTCATCATACATACTCAAGGATTGATTACTTTTTCATTGACAATAAACTTCTTCCCTCTGTCCGTGGCTGTAACTACCACAGTATTGTCATCTCAGACCACGCACCTGTGACTCTAGCCCTGTCCCTCCCTGACGTTCCTTTGAGGAGCAGACAGTGGAGATTCAATTCAACGTTGTTGTCAAACAAAGATTTTGTCACATTTATAGAGAAAGAAATAACATTTTTCCTATCCACCAACAGAACTCCTGGGATCCCACTTTCAACAGTCTGGGACACGCTTAAGGCCTATATCAGGGGACAAGTCATTTCATACACCGCTCGGCTGAAGCAAAAATCTCAAAAAGAAAGAACAGTTCTGGCCCAGCAAATTAAAGAAATAGATAAACAATATGCTCAAAACAAATGCCCTAATCTCTACAAAAAACAGCTAGAACTCAAAACTAAATTTGACTTATTGACCACACACTCGATAGAACAATTACTCTTAAAAAATAAATCCACATTTTACATACATGGAGAAAAGTCAGGAAAACTACTTGCAAATCAGTTGAAGGGTGCCAGGGCCAAACAATTAATCCCTAAGATCCAATTAAAGAATGGCAATTTAACTCTAGATCATTTACAAATTAATGAAGCATTTAAGGACTTTTATACTCATCTATATACTTCAGAATCCCAAACCAATAAGAATTTATGTTCCAATTTTCTTGACCAGATTAATATACCCAAACTCATACCCAACAGAAAAGAGGCACTGGAGATCCCAATATCCCTCACAGAAATTGAGTCGGCTGTCTCAGTAATGCAGTCCGGCAAATGTCCGGGTCCTGATGGCTTCCCTGCAGAATTTTTTAAGAAATTTTCTCCATTACTCTCCCCACTTCTACATTCGGTTCTTTCAGAGTCGTTTAGCCAGGGATCCCTTCCAAAATCTTTCTCTGAGGCCTGCATTATCCTCATTTTAAAGAAAGGAAAAGATCCAACTCAATGCTCTTCTTACCGACCAATCTCCCTTATAAATACAGACGCCAAAATTTTAGCCAAAGTCCTAGCCCTTAGGCTAGATAAGATCCGTCCTTTTATTATATCAAAAGACCAAACTGGATTCATTAAAGGTAGGCAGTCCTTCTTTAATATCAGGCGTCTTTTTGACATTATTTATTCTCCTTCGACTACTGTCCCAGAGTGTGTCATTTCCCTTGATGCGGAGAAAGCATTTGATCGTGTTGAATGGGACTACTTGTTCAATGCTCTTGGCAAATATGGTTTTGGCCCCAACTTCATCACATGGGTACAGTTAATTTATTCACATCCCACTGCAACCATTCGTACCAACTTTCAGATATCTAGACCATTCAATCTGCATCGAGGAACTCGCCAGGGTTGCCCACTGAGCCCTTTACTCTTTGACCTAGCAATTGAACCTCTCGCCATTGCTTTACGGTCCTGTAATACAATTTCAGGAACCTGGAGAAGTGGTCTGGAGCACAGGGTATCCCTCTATGCTGATGACCTCCTACTCTTCATCTCTCACCCGACTGACACATTGCCTTCCATTCTATCATTGCTTAAGGAATTTGGAATACATTCTGGTTACAAATTAAACTTAAGTAAAAGTGTAATTTTCCCCATTAATACCTTGGCACAGGCTCTTGACTTCAGTAATTGGCCTCTGAAAGTTGAGAATCAAAAATTCTCTTACCTGGGTGTTATGGTTACTAGGATGTACAAAGATCTGTACCAAGAAAATTTTGTCTCTCTACTGAACCAGACAAAGCAGGCGTTATCCCGGTGGTCACCGCTTTCCACATCTCTCATAGGCCGCATTAATTCAGTCAAAATGCTCACTTTGCCTAAATTTTTGTATCTCTTCCAAACCATTCCAGTTTTTATTCCTGGTTCATTTTTTGTGCAATTAAATTCCATCATTTCATCGTATCTCTGGCAGGGAAAACGTCCGCGCTTAAATAAGACACATCTCCAAAAAACCAAGATCGCAGGCGGCCTTGCCCTTCCAAATCTCCGTTTCTATTATTGGGCTGCAAACTTGCATTGCCTTGCATCTTTATCATTCTATTACAATAGGCCGGACTGCCCTGACTGGGTAGCGATGGAGTCAATATGTTCCGGGAAGTGGTCCACCCTGGCCTTTTTGGGATCCTCGCTCCCACTTCCACCACTTACAACTATTACAAACCCAGTTGTTAAACACTCACTAAAAATATGGGTACAATTTCGTAAATGCTTCGATCTCTCCAGTTTCTCTCTCTATACCCCTATCATGTCTAACCAGTCCTTCAAACCCTCATCTCAGGACCCTGTTTTCAAAGAATGGGAGAGAAGGGGCATAGTACGCTTCAAAGACTTGTTCCACAATAACACTCTAGCTTCATTTCAACAATTAAGTGAAAAATTTAGCCTTCCTCAATCAAACTTTTTCAGGTATCTCCAAATACGACACTTTATTATCCTTCATCTGCCAAGCCTCTCCATTTCAACAGATACCAATACTGTTGATACTATTCTTTCTCTAGACCCTAATAAAAAACATTCTATTTCATCCATCTATAGCAGATTACTGGATTTGAAGCGTGTTCCCTCAGATAAATTCAAAGCTGCTTGGGAAGAGGATCTTGGCTTCTCTATTTCAGAGAACTCCTGGACCTCCATACTCAGACTGGTGAGCTCCAGTTCTCTATGTGCTAGACATCACCTAATCCAATTTAAAGTGGTGCACAGAGCTCACATCTCTAAACTGAAACTGTCCTTTATGTATCCTGATGTCAGCCCATACTGTGTAAGATGTAAATACGCTGAAGCGTCCCTCTCACACATGTTTTGGTTTTGCTCATCCCTGAACAAATATTGGAGGGAAATTTTTCAGACTTTATCACGTGTGCTAGGTACACATCTGAGCCCAGACCCACTGATTGCTTTGTTTGGTGTCGCAGAGGGAGTGACAAATCTAAATAAAAACCAACGGCATATACTATCTTTCACCTCTCTCCTGGCCAGACGAGCCATTCTGCTCAGGTGGAGAGAACCATTTCCCCCCACTCACGCTCAGTGGTTGACTGACATCATGTCTTCTTTAAAGTTGGAGAAAATCAGATTGTCACTCCAACAGAAAGAAGGCAAATTTGAGAAAGTCTGGGGAACTTTCCTGAATTTATTCCAGTCTCTTTGACAACACAACTCCTTCGGGGTAATGCAGTATCTTGGCTATCTTAGCTTCTTAATTCTTTTCTTTTTCTCCTTTCTGTTTGGCAGTGATTAGGGAGGGATTATTTTCCTTTATCCTGTGTTGGTTATACTGTATGTGATATAATTTAAATTGACTCAAGCCGATTATGTCTTTACTAATGCTTACATGTAAATGTTTTTATTGCCAACTTTGCTATTTCTTTTTATTTTTTTTATTTTTTATTTTTTTTTCTTCTTTCTGTTTGTTAAAAAATGGAAAAAATTTCAATAAAACAGATCTTGAATCAAAAAGAAAGACCAGACTGAGATGGTTTGGACATGTCCAGAGGAGGGACAGTGGTTTGGACATGTCCAGAGGAGGGACAGTGGGTACATTGGTAGAAGGATGTTAGAAATGCAGCTGCCAGGAAAAAGACAAAGAGGAGATATATGGATGCAGTTAGAGAGGACATGGAGGTAGTTGGAGTGAGGACAGAGGATGCAGAGGACAGGGTGAGATGGAGGAGGATGAATCACTGTGGAGACCCCTGAAGAGGGAACAGCCAGAAGAAGAAGAATCAGACTTCACAGCTAAAAGCACACGTACCAGAAAGGCCTCGTTAAACTCAAAGGAGCATGGGAATTGTCTCTGCAGCTGATGAACACAGTCCAACCACTGCAGGAAGACAGGACAGCGCTCATTCAGGTCCTCAGAGTTTTCTCCGTGACCACAGCGGTCAGCAAACTTGTGGCCAAAGTCCATCCATTCTGTCTCCACTAAAACCTGGAAGCCCTGCACAAAGGAGCAGAAAAGAAGCTCTTTAAAGCAGGAAAAAAGAAACATCAAGGGCTTCATACATCATCATACAACATATAAGAAAAATGACCTCCCATCACCCTGCATGTAGGAAAACTAAATGACACAGCAGCACATTAAAAGCAGGTCCACATTATTTACACACCAATGCACAACCGTGCAGCAACTGAAGAGCAGCTTACACCATTTCAAGCTGATTATCACCCAGTGGACACAGTACAGCTGATGTTCTCAGATCCAGAGAACTAACAACAAGATGGGTTCAAGGCATTTAATTTAAAGTTTTGCAGAGTATTTTCAGGTAAAACTCAACCTGGAGCAGGTTGCGTTGGCTTGTCTCTGCTGTTGCAATACATATTTACTGTTGCATGCCCTGGGATTAGATTCACACTGTTAGCATGCACGTGAAAAATAGAGCACGTGAAATACATTTATTTTTTGTTTCCTCATATAAAAGCTGCTACCTGCAGCTTACAATCACAGATATAAGTTTTTTTTTATTATTATTATTTCTGATCAAAAGATTCATTAAGATGCAGTGATATATTTTTGAGACTATATTGCCCATCCATACTGACCAGTCAGCATTACATCTCAAACAGTTGCTTTAATGGTTTGTTTTCTGGTAATAAGTTATTATAAAAAAAAAATCATACCAAACTAGTAAATATGCATCAATGGCATTGTACAGATTAGTTTAGAGGAAAGAGTTTAGATAAATGGTTAGACAGAGAGCAGCGGCTTCAGCGCAGCTCCAACTCGTTAATAATAGTTTTAATTTGTTCCTTTAGTAATGTACTAGGTATTGAAGCAAAAACAATATAGTGGATATTTATTGCTTTAATAATATCTTCTTTCTGTGTAGTAGATGAGAAGATGAACAAACACACAGCTGCATGTGTTCATTTCAGTTCAGACTTGTCTTGATGTCTGACTGACACCAGCAGATCTCAGCAGGTTCAGATGTTACATTAATAAACTGAAGCCAATATCTAAGATCATTTAGAAGACCGAGAGCAAATTTGGTGTCAGAAAGGAAAGTGGTCGATACCTCAGTGGTGCGGTAGTAAGGGTCCAAAAGTAGTTTGGACAGAGCCACAATCTGAGGTGTGCGGTCCCAGCCATCGGAGCAATGCACCAAGACGGGCCTGTGGTCTCGGTCCACTGCATTGACCACCAGCAGGGCCGCCTTAAGAAGCAGGGATAGGTGCTGCAGCCACTTGGTGCTCTCCAGTGCAGAAAGCCAGCTGTGGAGTCAAGCAGCAACGACAACAAACATCAGAAAACTTTGGATATGTCGCAGTTGATCAACTGACACAAACACAACCCAGTTAAAAAAAATTTAAAATAACTTTCAGACATCTTAAATTGTAAATCTGGTACATACCTTATGACCCGATGCTGAAATTTATACTTGACTTAAGTTCAACAACGTTATCCCAAGACTGATAAGTTTAACTACACCTAAATATAGAGGTCAAATGGAAAGAGACCCTTTAGTTGGGTCAGAGCCAGGTTTTATCAATCAGACCCAGCTGTGACTACTAGCTACCTCCAACAAGCTAGGTTTAGCTGTAGCTTTTACTGTTGTGACTACAGAAATCCAATGGGCATCTGAGGGGGCACTTAAAAATGAAAACCTACTTGGCGGGATCAGGCATCTGAGTACAGAGGAAACGCAAAGACTGGAAACTCTTGCGAATGGTGTGGATGTTGGCCATTCCCATAAACACCACCTCACAGTTGGGATAGTACTCTGCAGAGAAAAAGGCCATTGAAGGAAAACAAAAAAAACAGTTTTATTTTAGCTCAGGAAACAATTGTGTGTATGTGAGCTCCTGAATCCACAGCACATATTTCCATATGTGCACAGAGCACATGAAGACCTACCTGGACATTCACAGCCTCCCCCCTTGGCTCTGTTTGCTACTGCTGCAGCATAGGACCGGGCATCCAGGATCAGTAACTTGTGGGGCTGGATGGCCAGTGTCTCCACTTCAGAGCTGTTGGTCATAGAGGATTCTGAAACACAAGGGAATTTAGTTCAGGTCATTACGTCAACAATAAAAAAAAAACGCTGATAAGTAAGAAAATTAAAAGATACATTCAAGTATGTTTAGCACGATCTGACAGTGACTTGTGTTTGTGTACGGCTTCAAACAAGCTGAAACAGGTCGAGTTGCACAACAGTGTCTGCTGCAAATTCCTGCAAGATCTCAGCGTAAACATCTGACTGCTGGGTAGTAGGTGTGGAGTTCTGTGCATGTACAGTACAGCGCGTCGGAGAATGAATGAGAGTATGAACTTTTACCAAAATCTGTATCGGGCAGGGCTGCTCCGTTGGAACAGCTTCCGTTGGGGAGGTGTTTGTGGGAGCAGCTGTCCACAGCGCAGGCCTTAGCAATGGACTGGACCAAGTGTTCATCATCGGCGTTCCTCCAGCCCCACCAGCTGACCTCTGGTTGGCCACAGCGGGCGATCACAGCTCCTGTGCTTTGGTGTCTATGAGGGAGGGAGGGGGTCAATCAAGAAGTTAACCACAATCACATTCAGTGAAACTACTTCATAAATCATTAATCAATGACTTCATCGTCATTAACTGCACCGTTTTTATGTCTATATTCTGATTTACCTCATTTTGTATTTTGATTTGTGTGTTACCTGTTGTTCTGTCTGTACAGCACTTTGGTTGGCCTTGTTGCTGTTTTAAGTGCTTTATAAATAATGGTATAAACATCAAAACTTGGGATGCAATTTTTAGTTTGTGTTTAAAAGGCTTCTGCATATTAAAAATGTTTTTCAATAATAGGCTTATCGCGATAAACAATAAATCAATTAATCGCATGATAAATGAAAATTACCGACCTCGTTTTTTTTTTTATTGGCTTTATCATTTCTTCGTGTCTCTTTCTAGTGAAGACACTGGAAGACAAAAGGCTCAACTCCAGTGTTCTTCACTGACCCCTCCATTTCTCTTTTCTCTTTAAAATCTGTTTAAACTGTCCTAAATCGCCTTTTTGGATCGTTAAAAGCAGCTAAGCTGAGAGGCTAAGCTAACAGGCAGACCTCAGGAGGAAAAAACCTCCGTCTTGCCAAAGCTCTAAAATTCACAGTTGAAACCCGTGCCTTCAGCTAAAAATATGTTGGGGTTTTTTCCGCAAAAAGAAGCTGAGAACCTGTTTACTGATCTTTAATTAAAAGCTTTGTGTGAAAAATGCTATGCTACAGAGCTCAAACCACACCGAATGTCCACCATTTTGAGAAACAAAAAACAGGAAGGAGAGACAGCCCATGTCACGTCAAGGGAACTCCCACCCATTTTTCATAAGAGACAAGCTGCTCGCTCCCTCACTATCCATCCTTCAGTTTAAACGGTCTTATACTGCCATCCAGTGGTGAAAAAAGATACTACACACAAAAATTAACCAACATTTCTTCTTAAATTTGACAATTACTAATTACTGTCAAATTTCAAACAATATTATCGTTTATCGCAATAATTTCTGAGACAATTAATCGCCATGCAAAATTTATTATCGTGACAGGCCTATTCAAAAACTTGTTAAACAAATCAAATGATTAGGGGCTTTCTAACTTTAAAACAAAACAAAACATTAGGAACTGTTCCTTTTTGAAGCTAGTTAGTCGACTTTCTGTCATTAACGACCCACCGTCTCTATTTCACCTGCAGTCATAAACGCATACCATAGATCCTTATTTACTGTTTCTTTTTATACTTTATATTTTGTTATTTTTGGGTTTAACTGGGACCCTGTGTACATAATTTCATTCCACCTCATGTATAGATGGAAATGACAATAAAATTGAACTTGAATTGAAACATTACAGCTGCACAGAAAACTCTTCTTAAACCTTAAATGAAGCAGCTCTTGCTAACTTTTCACTTGAAACAGGGAACAGATAAGCAATATGTAAAACAGCAACAAGGGCATGAGGCCACGATAAATGGACAAAGACTTTACCAAACGTTTATTTTCATAAAGAAGCTCTTCAATTTAGAATAATAAGTTTAAGTCTAGCCTGAAACCTGTTACAGAACTATAAACGTTTTTATAAAACATGTGTTTCTTTTTTTTTAACATAAAATAAATTTTTGTTTCTGTTCAGCAAAAAAAAAAAAAGAGTTAAAGTCCGATTTGAAGAACTCCGAACTCCGGAAGAAAAATGCACCAACCTATAAATCACAGCAGGAAACCTTTTCCAGGAGCGGAAGGCAGCCACATTTTCCAGCTCCTTGTCGGTGATCCAAGCTGGCACCAAGAGCTGCTGAGGATAGCTGGGGCAAAGCCTGAAGGTCACAGAGCAATGTTAACTAGAAAAGTCTGCATTTCCTGTCAACATGCTGGGTGAATGCTTGTTGCTGAAAGTTGCTGAAGAAGCTGAAACTAAGCCGTAAATTTTAAATAAGTCAGAATTTTATTGACCCCGCAGGAAATTGTTGTGCCAGAGTTGTGCCAAATCACTGAACTGTCACCACATGTTTAATATGAACACTTATAAAAAAAAAAAAGTTGAATGATTTGCAAAAACACTAGCAAACAACAAGAAAAAGCTACCTTCGAGTCAGAAGTAGATAAAGCTAAACATACAGGTCCTTCTCAAAAAATTAGCATATTGTGATAAAGGTCATTATTTTCCATAATGTAATGATAAAAATGAAACTTTCTTATTTCAGATTCATTGCACACCAACTGAAATATTTCAGGTCTTTAATTGTTTTAATACTGGTGATTATGGCATACAGCTCATGAAAACCCAAAATGCCTGTCCCAAAAAATTAGCATATCATGAAAAGTTTCTCTAAACAAGCTATTAACCTAACCATCTGAATCAACGACGTAACTCTAAACACCTGCAAAAGATTCCTGAGACTTTTAAAAACTCCCAGCCTTGTTCATTTCTCAAAACCGCAATCATGGGTAAGACTGCCGACCTGACTGCTGTCCAGAAGGCCATCATTGACACCCTCAAGCAAGAGGGTAAGACACAGAAAGAAATTGCTGAACAAATAGGCTGTTCCCAGAGTGCTGTATCAAGGCACCTCAGTGGGAAGTCTGTGGGAAGGGAAAAGTGTGGCAGAAAACGCTGCACAACAAGAAGAGGTGACCGGACCCTGAGGAGGATTGTGGAGAAGGGCCAATTCCAGACCTTGGGGGACCTGCGGAAGCAGTGGACTGAGTCTGGAGTAGAAACATCCAGAGCCACCGTGCACAGGCGTGTGCAGGAAATGGGCTACAGGTGCCGCATTCCCCAGGTCAAGCCACTTTTGAACAAGAGACTGCGTCAGAAGCATCTCGCCTGGGACTGCTGCTGAGTGGTCCAAAGTTATGTTCTCTGATTACAGTAAATTTTGCATTTCCTTTGGAAATCAAGGTCCCAGAGTCTGGAGGAAGAGAGGAGACACAGAATTCACATTGCTTGAGGTCCAGTGTCAAGTTTCCACAGTCACTGGGGTGTCATGTCATCTGCTGGTGTTGGTCCACTGTGTTTTATCAAGGGCAGGGTCAATGCAGCTAGCTGTCAGGAGATTTTGGAGCACTTCATGCTTCCATCTGCTGAAAAGCTTTATGGAGATGAAGATTTCATTTTTCAGCACGAACAGGCACCTGCTCACAGCGCCAAAACCACTGGTAAATGGTTTACTGACCATGGTATTACTGTGCTCAATTGGCCTGCCAACTCTCCTGACCTGAACCCCATAGAGAACCTGTGGGATATTGTGAAGAGAAAGTTGAGAGACACAAGACCCAACACTCTGGATGAGCTTAAGGCCGCTATCGAAGCATCCTGGGCCTCCATAACACCTCAGCAGTGCCACAGGCTGATTGTCTCCATGCCACGCCGCATTGAAGCAGTCATTCATGCAAAAGGATTCCCGACCAAGTATTGAGTGCATAACTGAACATGATTATTTGAAGGTTGGTGTTTTTTGTATTAAAAACACTTGTTTTTCAGTGGTGGGATGAAATATGCTAATTTTTTGGGACAGGCATTTTGGGTTTTCATGAGCTGTATGCCAGAATCATCAGTATTAAAACAATTAAAGACCTGAAATATTTCAGTTGGTGTGCAATGAATCTGAAATATATGAAAGTTTCATTTTTATCATTACATTATGGAAAATAATGACCTTTATCACAATATGCTAATTTTTTGAGAAGGACCTGTACAGGTTTGCTGAATGAGGAAGAAGGAAGCTGAAATGACCCCAAAAATGGAGAAATTAACTGAAGATTACTTTAAATAGCAGAAATAAAAAGGAAGGGCACATTAGCTGAATTTCACTGAAAAAAGCTGAAATATGCACACAAAAAGTGGAACTAACAAAAAAGATACAATTTACAGAAAAACAACTAAACAGTAGCTGAAAAGGCAGAAGAAAGCTGAAATGAGTAGAAATGACCTGAAAAGAGCATTAAAAGAAAAAAATGCATTAAAATGTATCATAAAGCAAAAAACGTCAGAAGCAAAGTCAAAAGCAAAATGCTAGCAAATAGCAAGCAAAAGCTAGAAAATGTTAGCTAAGACTCACGAGTTTTGAAACTAGCAACAACGCAAGAAAAAGCTGGCTTTAAGATAGAAGTAACGAAACGCTAGCAAGAAACAGAAAAAGACTAGCTATGAGCCCAAAGTAGCAAAATGCTGGCAAATAGAAAAAAGCTAGCTAAGGGTTAAAAGTAGCTAAACAATAGCAAAAGAAAAAGTAAAGACGACACGAACAGGATTTCAATAGTGTGAATGCTTAAGTGATAGCTCAACAAAAGTATCATGTAGTATCAGCAGAAGTGCGTTGTACCAGCAGAGTACCATCACACAACCACACACGGGCTAACACCCCCAGAACGGAACAAAGCCTCTTTTACCTGAACTTGCTGTTGATGTCAGAGATTCTCCAAGCATTCTGAGTGTCAAACCCCATCCTCTCCACCTCGTTCTTGAACCATGAGGTCACGTGTTCTCCTGCAAAGAAAGCAGTGATAAGACCAGGACAGTGGAGATGCTCCTGTGGGAGTCATGTCGGACGTATGGGAGACAGAGGCTCACCTGGCCTGCACAGCTCCCCGTGCTGCTCCTTCTCTCCAGCATACACCTCCATGCACCAAGCATGGAAGGCAAAGGAAAAGAGGTCCTCCAAGCGAGAGGGAGGGTGCACTATGGCATTGAGGCGTTTGAGCCACTCCTGACACTGCTCAAAGGTGGAGAACTGACACCTGGGGACCAGAAGGCAAACACACGGTCAACACGCCTCAAAGTATGAATGAGCCAACACCTGATCATTTACAGTTCAGAAACAGGAAATTACTCCCTACAATCCATCCATCCATCCATTTTCTTCCGCTTATCCGGGGTCGGGTCGCGGGGGTAGCAGCCTAAGTAGGGAGGCCCAGACTTCCCTCTCCCCAGCTACTTGGTACAGCTCCTCCAGGGAAATCCCAAGGCGTTCCCAGGCCAGCCGAGAAACATAGTCCCTCCAGCGTGTCCTGGGTCTTCCTCTGGGTAGGAACGTAGATCGATCGGTAAATTGAGAGCTTCGCCTTTTGACTCAGCTCTCTCTTCACCACGACAGACCTGTATAGCGCCCGCTTCACTGCAGATGCTGCACCTATCCACCTATCGATCTCACGTTCCATTTTTCCCTCATTCGTGAACAAGACCCCAAGATACTTGAACTCCTCCACTAGGGGCAGGACCCCCTCCCTGACCCGGAGAGGGCACTCTACCCTTTTCCGGCTCAAGACCATGGCCTCGGATTTGGAGGAACTGATCCTCATCCCGACCACGTCACACTCGGCTGCGAACCGCTCCAGCGAAAGCTGTAGATCACGATCTGATGAAGCCAATAGGACCACATCATCTGCAAAAAGCAGAGACGCAATCCTAAGGCCACCAAAACGGATCCCCTCAACACCTTGGCTGCACCTAGAAATTCTGTCCATAAAAGTTATGAACAGAATCGGTGACAAAGGGCAACCTTGGCAGAGTCCAACTCTCACTGGGAACAAGCCCGACTTACTGCTGGCGATGCGGACCAGGCTCTGGCACTAATCGTACAGGGACCTAACAGCCCGTATCAAAGGGCCCGGTACCCCATACTCCCAGAGTACCCTCCACAGGGTTCCCCGAGGGACGCGGTCGAATGCCTTCTCCAAGTCCACAAAGCACATGTAGACCGGTTGAGCAAACTCCCACGAACCCTCCAGGACCCTGCTGAGGGTGTAGCGCTGGTCCAGTGTTCCAGGACCAGGACGAAAACCGCACTGCTCCTCCTGAATCCGAGGTTCGACTATCCGATGGACCCTCCTCTCCAGAATTCCTTACAATATTAAGCATCATTTTTAAAGAACAACATTGGAAAAGTATGTTTAAATGCAACTTCTTGGATCTACTAAACTGTTACACAAGAATAGTTTTATACAAAGAACATTACTTGCACCACTCCATTATTTAATTATTATTAATTTATGACCATTCTAGTTTTTCATTCAGTACCTTTTAAATAAAAAAATATAAAAGGTTTACATAAAAAAACTTTTTTTGATCTAAAATGACTTTTTGTCATTTAAATTATTAATTTAATATTAAATTATTCTGAATAAGAATAAGAAGGCCGCGCTAATTATTTTAGCCGCAGCTTCGTGCACTCTGCACATCTTCGGACGACTGTACATACATATTTGCGTCGTATCTCGGTGCAATGCCAATAAAGTTTATTCTGATTCTGATGAATGCTACATTTGTTTTTATTAAAAAGAAAAAAGTTTGAGAATAATGTTTTTAATTTGCACAAACAAAAATTCTGATTATTTTAACAAGAATAGATCCTCGTCCAGAGGAGTGTTGAACTTTACCTTCATCAGTGCACAAACAGTGTTGTCAGACTGTAAAGAGGTGTTGCTAAACAGCACATCTAATGTACGTTTTGATCAAATAATGTACAGGATTACATTTTATCTAAAAACAAAAACAGTTATCTATGAATTACAACAAGAATTTGACTTTCTAATGTTTGACATTTGTAAAAATAAATGCCTTTCTGGTCTAATCAGTATGAACAACTCTTCCCCACGTCAGCTCTGTTTTTCTCTCCATTATGATTTTAAAACTGAACTCCAGTCAGTGTTAGTGAGTCAAGGCTCTTGTGATAATGTCACAAGCCATCAGTGTTTTATAAGTTAATCTCATGAATTTAATCTTTGTGATAAAATAACAGTGGAGTACAAATGTGTCTTATGTGAAGAAGAACAAAGTTTTCATTTGGACACTGAGGACACAGTAGGTTTCTTTCTTTGCCTTGTACATAAATGATCAAATGTTAACAACAGTACTGCACACAGCATATTACACACCCGTCAAACTATTATACAGTAATCTAAAGCTTGATAATCTCCAAGCAATATGAATTCTGAGCAACATTGTTTTCATAAACCGTCACTCTGGAATGATGCAAAGACATTTGCAGTCTGTTGTTTTTCATATAAAACCTTAGTTTTGTGGCCTCACAGCAGGTGCAGCATGTTTCACATCACCAACACAACATGCCCATCCTCAGTGTGCATTCAGAGATTCTTCAGTGACCACTGCACTGATTTCAGATTTGACCTTGATTTGTGACCTTGACTTTGAGCCTGGGGTGATGAAAAGTGCACACTCCAGCTAGTGATGATGAATATTGGTATGAAGTTTCATTAAGCTATTTTGAGCGGATCAGAAGAGGCCTGAACAAGAGAAGTTTATGAACGGATAGATGGAGACTAATAATAATAACAATAACAATAATAATTCATATTCAAACGTTCATATAAATTGATGTAAAGGAATACAGACAAGAGTAGAGTGTATATTTCAGGTAATGCTGAGAGTAAGGTGGCACAGTATCAGCAAGTAAACTCATTTTCATGCATAAAAACAAAAACGGTTCTTACCGGACTACTTTACAGTCCTTACAGGTGACGTGAAGCTGGAACATATCCCGACACTCCACACACTCAATCAGCTGCAGGGGGACCTGTGGAGACAAAAACAGGGAAACACCAACACATAATCAACCAAATCTATGAGGGAAACACTTCAACACAGATAAAACTAGAGTCAAACTGAACACTGATTAGAAACACTTAAAAACAAGCTCATGCAACTAAATCCTTTCAGCAAATTAGTCATAGAGACCACAGAGGAAAAAACACTCATGCCAAGCTGCAGTAACATTAATTAATATAAACTTTTTAAATCTCACAGACTGTTGTCCAGGTGCACTGACATTAGTATTTACATCCCAGTTCACTTGAGCTCTAAAAATAAAGAATTATCTTCATGGCAGCACGTGAGGAGCACGTTTTAGCGGTGCAGCAGGCTTTGTAAAAGGTGTGGCTCGAGCTGATTATCAGTCGGTCATGCACAATCACCAGCCTGTCAACACCAGTCAGCTCTTAGTACATAAACACAAAGACGGGGTACAGCTGTAAGGAGGTTCTGCTGATGGATTAGAAACATGGCAATTTAAATCTTTTGTCCAATCATATTTATGCCACACAGTGTAAACTTCACATCTGGTGTTAAACAATAAAATGATTCCCCACCCAGGGGCACCAGCTAGTTAGCAGGCAGGCACAGTCTAAAGGACAGCGTTAACACCAACCAGCATGCAGCTCTGCTGGGTACTTACTGACACCTCACAACAACAACTCTATCCAAGAGAAAACAGAAGGAACAATCAGGACGCTGATGCATGTTGACCTGGAACCAACATGGACTGCTTTCACCACAAGTTCTGGATGCTTCTCTCCACTTAAATCTCCATCTTCAATATGACCAAGACCAAAACTCCTAAGCTGCTTTTTAACCGCCTCCACGTCCCACCCGCCGATGAATGAGCTCTGACTGCTCCAATATGTGATGCAGACCATCCAGGGCAGCTGTGGCCGAGTGGTTAGAGCAGTCGTCCTCTAACAGGAGAGTTGGGGGTTTGATTCCATCAGCAGTCACATGCTGAAGAGTTCCAGGGCAAGACTGAACCCCTCATTGCCTCTGACGTGTCCCAGTGGTTAGTCTTTGTCGAGATGTAGTAGAGTGCTGTATGAATGTGTGTGTGAATGGGTAAATGTAAAGAGTGTCTTGACAAGATGGAAAGGTGTATACCAGTACAGTTCATTTATCCAAACCATCCAGAGATCACCCCCAAACTAAGACTGAGAACTCAGTGGAACCACTGAACAAATCCTATGAATGTGCAGGAGTGAAACTAAAGAGGTTTTTGTTGCCTGTTCAAAAACATTTGGCACACAATGTTCAACGTTATATTTTCTCAACTTAGGGCGCTCCTTGGTGTCAAACCCAAGTCCCCGAGGCTTAGTGGGATTAACCTGTATAAATAAAGCTAGAAAAACCTGGTCATAGCTGAGATTAATGAAATTCAAAATTGAAGAGCACAAATAAGCCCTGGTAGTGACGCAGAGAAACAGATGCTTTCTTCATCCACTTGGAGCTGAGCAGAAACTGTTTTATTAAACATGAACGATGTGCACACTCAGAGTTCATAAAGTTTCTGTTTGTCTGATTAGCATTACTGTAGCATAGGCTCTTTGTGAATGTAAATATTATGCACGTTGCTTTAATGCTGTAAAACTTGATTCAGATGTGTTGTTTTTCATACAGGTGGTTTTAAAGGTGAACTTTGTTTTTACTGTAACTTTAATTTATCCTTGGTATGAGGTAACAGATATACACTGCCTGGCCAAAAAAAAACAACTCACCACCTGGATTTAACTAATATGTACGAGCCTCCTACTGGATTATTGCTGCACGGGCGATTATCTTTCAGCTGCAACAAGTTATTTAAGCCCAACTGGTGCAATGAGCTGCTTCTCAATTCTTAAACAACCATGTCAAAGACACATTGTGTGGTCATGGAAAAGATGCCAGTCTGTTTGAGAAGGGTCAAATCACTGGCATCAAGCAGAGAAAACATCTAAGGAGGTTACAGAAAATAATAAAACTGGGTTAAGAACTGTCCAACGCATTATTAAAAACTAGAAGGATAGAGGGGACCCATTGTCTCTGAGGAAGAAATGTGGCCGGAAAAAAAATCCTGAATGATTGTGATCGACAATCACTTAAACATTTGGTGAAATCAAATGGAAGAAAAACAACAGGAGCACTCAGGGCTGTGTTTAGTAGTGAAAGTAAGAACATTTTCACACGCACGATGTGAAGGGAACTCAAGGGATTGGGACTGAACAGCTGTGTAGTCTTAAGAAAACCACTAATCAGTGAGGCTGACTGAAAAAAAAGCATAAAGATTGGACTCTGGAGCAATGGAAGAAGGTCATGTGGTCTGATGAGTTCAGGTTGACCCTGTTCCAGAGTGATGGGTGCATCAGGGTAAGAAGAGAGGCAGGTGAAGTGATGCACCCATCATGCCTAGTGTCATCAATGCAAGTTATTGGTGAAAAATTAATGCAACACAGGATGAAATAGATCTTGTGACATTAGAAGCTTATTGAAACAAAGTCACAGAGAATGCATGATGTAATCAAAGCTAAAGGCGGCCCAATGAAATATTAGTGTGTGACCTTTTTTTTGGCCAGGCAGTGTATTTATTTAATTATCAGTGTGCTGCATCTAGCATGACTGGCTCTTTGCCACTTTCTTTACATATCGGTTCTGCACCACACTGTGGTAGTTTAGGGCCTGTCCACCACTGGTACCCACCCCCACTAAACCTGGTTTATGGGACCACCATGTTTGTGGTTCCAAGCAAACTGCTCAGAGGTACACTGAGGAAAACAAGTATTTGAACACCCTGCGACTTTGCATGTTCTCCCACTTAGAAATCATGGAGGGGTCTGAAATTTTCATCTTAGTCCACTGTGAGAGACATAATCTAAAAATAATAATAATAATAAATCCAGAAATCACAATGTATGATTTTTAAAATAATTTGTGTGTTACTGCTGCAAATAAGTATTTGAACACCTGTGAAAATCAATGTTAATATTTGGTACAGTAGCCTTTGTTTGCAGTTACAGAGGTTTCCTGTAGTTTGTCTCCAGGTTTACTGCAGCAGAGATTTTGGCCCATTCTTCCACACACATCTTCTCTAGATCAGCCAGGTTTCTGGGCTGTCGCTGAGAAACACGGAGTTTGAGCTCCCTCCAAAGATTTTCTTTAGGGTTTAGATCTGGAGACGGGCTAGGCCACTCCAGAACCTTGATATGCTTCTTACGGAGCCACTCCTTGGTTCTCCTGGCTGTGTGCTTTGGGTCATTGTCATGTTGAAAGACCCAGCCACGACCCATCTTCAATGATCTAACTGAGGGAAGGAGGTTGTTCCCCAAAATCTCACAATACATGGCCCCGGTCATCCTCTCCTTAATACAGTGTAGTCGTCCTGTCTCTTGTGCAGAAAAACACCCCCAAAGCATGATGCTTCCACCCCCATGCTTCACAGTAGGGATGGTGTTTTTGGGGATGGTACTCATCATTCTTCGTCCTCCAAACACGTCGAGTGGAATTAAGACCAAAAAGTTCTATTTTGGTCTCATCTGACCACATAACTTTCTCCCATGACTCCTCTGGATCATCCAAATGGTCATGGTCAAACTTAAGACGGGCCTGGACGTGTGCTGATTTAAGCAGGGGAACCTTCCATGCCATGTGTGATTTTAAACTATGACGTCTTAGTTTATTACCCACAGTAACCATGGAAACAGTGGTTCCAGCTCTCTTCAGGTCAATGACCAGCTCCTCCCGTGTAGTTCTGGGCTGATTCCTCACCTTTCTTAGGATCACTGATACGCCACGAGGTGAGATCTTGCATGGAGCCCCAGTCCGAGGGAGATTGACAGTCATGTTTAGCTTCTTCCATTTTCTAATAATTGCTTCAACAGTTGATCTTTTTTCACCAAGCTGCTTGGCAATTGCCCCGTAGTCCTTTCCAGCCTTGTGGAGGTCTACAATTTTGTCTCTGGTGTCTTTGGACAGCTCTTTGGTCTTAGCCATGTTAGTAGTTGGAGTCTTACTGATTGTGTGAGGTGGACAGGTGTCTTTATGCAGCTACCGACCTCAAACAGGTGCTTCTAATTTAGAATAATAAGTGGAGTGGAGGTGGACGTTATAGAGGAGCACTAACAGGTCTTTGAGGGCCAGAACTGTTGCTGATTCACAGGTGTTCAAATACTTATTTGCAGCAGTAACACACAAATAAATTATTTTTAAAAATCATACATTGTGATTTCTGATTTTTTTTTTTTTTTTAGATCACATGTCTCACAGTGGACATGCACCTAAGATGAAAATTTCAGACCCCTCCATGATTTCCAAGTGGGAGAACTTGCAAAGTCGCAGGATGTTCAAATACTTATTTTCCTCACTGTACATGTCAAGTCTTATGGATTTTCCATAAATTATACCAATTTTTCCTATTTTTAATTACTGTTGTACAGAGAAAATCATACGGAACTTTCAAGAACCCGGCTTCAAATTATTTTACATCTCAGAGCCGACCCATAAGGAAACGCTTAAAGCTAAATGCTTATTAAATGCTAAATGCTAATAAAGCTTTAGACTTTTATAATAAAGTCTAATACGTTTTGGTACTTTATGAATTGCAGCTTTATATTTAGCACCAACTCTGCTGGTACTTGTAAGGGTGAATGTCTCTGGCAATAAGAAAACAACTTTTTAGTGTATTAACGCTCTAACTTCTGCTTTTTAAATGTTTGGCTGCTAAAAGCAGAATTCAAATTTCAAGAAGCAACAAACACCACACTGAAACAAGACGTTTTTCGGTGTTCATCTTGTAAACACATCTCATTAAAAAAATCCACAGATTAATCTATATTGGGGATTAATCCCCAATGTATTGTGAAATTCTTTATCAAAAGGGCTCGTGAAACGGTCGGCA